CCGGAAAAACTCAAGAGACTATTTTCTTGAGAAATTGGGAGTTTGCATGAAATCTATCTGTTGAATGAAATAATAAAAAATGAAAAATGCATGGAAAACATTAGATTCTGATTTTCTTTTTCTGAGAAATCATGAAAAATCAAGAATTACCGTCATCAAAACGTTTTAAATCGCCTGTAATTCGTTAATCTTCTATTATTCCTCGAAAAAAAACGTGTCTAATAGTCTTCACACAGTTCTCAAAAAAATTCATGCAAAACGAGAGATTATTATTGTTGAAAATTGACTGTTTGCATGAATTCTTTTACAAAATGAAATAATGAAGTCCGAAAAGTGCATGTGAGATATTAGATTCGTATTTTTTTATTTTCATAATCATCATCAAACGTGTCTAATATTTTCCATACACTTTTCATAACATTCCATGCAAAATCCCAATGCAAAAAAAAAGACGATTTTTATGAGAAATTTGGTTTTGCATGAATTCTCTTCATTAAAAAGCGTCTTATTTTTTCATTTTAATAAACCATGAAAAATCAAGTATCATCATTATGTATAATCATCTGGTCATTTTCAATCTCCTCCATAAATGAAAACTCCAATACTTTCCCCAAATTTTGAAGAAAATTTCATGCAAAACCTAAATGTCCTCCCTCAAAAAACAAGTTCTCCTGCAATTTTCTCTATTCCTCCTGAATAAATCCCCTAAGCCCCGTGAACCATACACTACTTACTGAACCTAGACCTCCTCAACATGGGTATCAAATCGCTCCTGACAGCCCCAGCATAGCTCCCCCCACTGAACTGTTCACCCCCAACAGAACCCGACATACTCCCGATGAATATCGAGTTCTCCTGGTACTGGAGCTGCCTTCCCTCGACATTTCCATAGCGGCCCTGGACGAACTGATTCCCCTGGAAGCCCTCATGAAACTGCGACACCACCTGACTGACGCCATTGCTCTGATAACTCCCAGGATCGAACCGAAGTTGATTCACCTGTCCTCCATTGAAAGCCGATGAATGATGGAACCGATTGACCGATCCCTCAGGGTACATGACATGCCCCTGGGAATAATTATCTCCATTAAAGCTCAATGGAGTTCCGTAGAACGTCTGGGAGTCCTTGTGGCAGTCGTCCTGATTAATCTCACTCTTTTCGACTCTGGATTTATTGACAAACTGATGCTGAATGTTAATGATTGTCTGGGGTGATCGAAGGGGCGGAAATGTCCCTGGGGACATCTTCAGGACTGTTTTGTGATTTTCTTGGGGATTTGGGGCAGTCTTGGATGATTGAGAAAATGGAGTTGAACCCCTTGGTGACGATTTTTGTGTCGTAATTTGTTGTGATGAGGATGTCTTCTTCCTCTGAGTCAAATCCTTTTTCTGTCTAAAATCTCTCGGCTCTTGATCTCTGATGAGTTTCTTGGATTTTTCGGGTGGAGGTGGGGGATTTGAGGGGGTGTTGAGGCTTTCTTGGTGCACTGAGGGTTGAGGGGATGTTGAGGGATTTGGAAATCGATCTGGTGGTATTTTTGGGGGATTTGGGGGGCTTGAGGGGATGGCTGGGGGAGGAGAGAGGGGTAAGGTGGCTGCTGCCAGGGAGAGAGCGCTGGCTCACTTCTTGGTCATGATCTTGAGGTACTCCAATGCATTCTGCGCAGCGCTGGCTTGGGCATCCTTGCTGGTTACTCCACTGCCATAGCAGACTGCCACTGGGAGAGTGGACAACTGCACGAGACACTGACATTTACCTGGAATTGGAGAATTAACGAGTTTAGTGGAGGATATCTTCATCATCTTCATCAAGATGAATATATTTTGTTAATTATTATTGTATATTATTCTATTCTTATATTCTTCAATATAAATCTAAGGGATGTTCTCCAATACTAATTTGGTTGTTGATTTTCTGGGATTTTTTTTAGGGGAGAGAAATCTCGATGGGTTGATGTTGTTGGAGCAGAGTCCGGAAAATATTCTTATGTACAGCAAGATGTTTCGCTAAACGCGCACGCAAAAATTGAATAGAAAAATCTAACGAATTAGTTAGAAAATTCTATTGGATTTCTATTGAACTTTCTATTAGTTTTTGGCCGATTCTATTGAAATTTTCAATAGAAATAATTCAATAAAATTCACTTTTTCTGTGTAACTTATTCTCTTCAGATATTTTCTATAGAATTTCCTTGACTCAGATTTTTCAATTTTTTTTCATTTTCTTTTCTTCTCATCAATAAGAAAATCAAACAAAAAAACTTGAACCAAGGAAATTCTATAGAAAATATCTCAATAGAATTGTATAGAAAAATTGAATTCTTTTAACTTGCTCGCTAGAATATTTTCGATTGATCATTTAAATAGAAACGCTCAAAAACTTATAGAAATTTTGATAGAAATGCAATAGAATTGTCTAGCGAATTCGCTAGGTTTTTCTATTAAATTTTTTCATTCGTGAAATTTCTCCATACATGTGCAAATACTAAATGGTAACATGTGCCTCATCCAAACATCAACAATTATCAATAACAACAATCATGACTCTCATAATGTTCTTCCCCGAAAAAACTTTATCATTCCTCCTCCATGAACTCATCGATAAAACCTGAACTGTAGAAATTGTGACCCCCTTGACAGCTCCCCTGGATAATTTTTATCGAATACGAGTATGATAAGAGCGCCCCCTTGATCAGCATCATGAGCACAACAAGACTAGCCATGGAAGCTATCAAAGCAGCCAAGAGTGCTCTCCGAAAGGAAATCGCCAGTATAATTTCGGAGTTGAGTCCAGCAGAGAAAAAGAGACAATCTGCTGCTGTTTTCCAGCAGGTAATTCATTGTAATTGATCAGGAGTTCAATTTCTCCAGTTTTAGAGGTTAGAGTGGACTCGTTAGCATTGAAAAATGATGTTGCTTTCCAGCTGACAAGACTCCCAGAGTACGAGAACAGCAGGCGAATCTCGTTGTATCTGAGCACTGATGATGAGATTGACACTGTCAAAATCCTCGAGGATATTTTCGAGAGGGGGAAGGAGGTGTTTGTTCCGAGGTATCCGGGAGGTGCTATGAGCATGGTGAGGCTGAGGGACATGGAGGATTATGAGAGTTTACCACTGACTAAATGGAATATCAAGCAACCTGCCAAGGGAGACGTCAGGGAGGATGCCTTGGAGACTGGAGGACTCGATCTGGTCATTCTACCTGGGGTTGCTTTCACTAGATCAGGTGAAGTGCATGCACACACACCATCTCACCAACAACAACAACAACAAATTGGTGTTCTTGGTCAGGTGCTGGGTGTGTGATTTTTCTAGATTTTTCCTTCCGAGTGGAAGGAATCTCTTCTGTCGTTCAAATTTAAGTCTTCGATTTTTTTATGTTATATCAACCCATTATGATTCAAAAAGTCAGGAAATTAATTTTTTAAATCTATTCCGAGCAAGTTTTTTGACTGTTCGCCAATCAATCGATGGAATTAAATTATTTTTTCTTCAAATGTACACGGAGAAAAATTTTCTAGAAAAAGTGCTGTGCAACTTTAACATTATCGTTCATAGGGTCAATCGTCCCGTGTTCGAACGAATAAGGTCACAGTTATTTTTGACGTAGATTTAAAAATATAACCAAGTCGAAAATTGATTTAAAAATAATTGTAACTCCCCTGTAGATCTCCATAGATGATAGAAAAAAATATTATGGATATTAATTGACGATACAATTAATGATATGAATACAAAAAGCTGGAAATGTGTGAAAACCCAGCAATCGAAATGCGTATTCTGTAATGAGAATATGCTATTGGCGGCGTGTCATCGAAAACTGTTTTTTCCGCTGGTAATAAGGTAACTTAGCCATTTTCAATCATCACAATATCATTTGGAAATATCATAATTTTATTTTTCGTGTATAATGCGAGGCATCTCTACCTTCTACTAATTTATTTTATAGAAAAAGTACCAATTAATTCGATTACTGGTCCGGTTCGAACACTGGTTGGTTCACCCTAATTATGAAACTTAAGAACGATAATTGAACGTAAATTTTGCTGGTGCTAGACAATAATTTTTTCAAGTGTGCAAGTTGTGACGCATTTATGGCGCAAGCACATAAATTTTTCTAGAAAATTTTTCTCAGTGTAGGTATTGTCCAGCTCTATCCATCAACATTAATTAAAATTCAGTTAATATATTAATCTTTAGAACTTTCGATTTTTTCAAAAATCGGTTGTCCCACGAATGATAGCTTCAAAAATTCTTTCGATGCCCTTTTGACCGAGTTCAACAATGAAGGCAATAGTAATAATCGTTGTTTTGATTGACAGAGTAATTTTCGAACATTGCGTATTTCTTTAGAATGAGAATTCCGGAAATATTTCACAGCTATATCCGTTGTTTTCATTTTTATGATGATTTTAACAAATTTAAATTTTTTATAAAATTTCCCTGCAGGTGAATTTTCCCCTGGTTCCTTCAAATGTGATATTTTAAATTCATTCAATTATATATGAAAAAAGTTGCTCTAATGCCAATGTATCGAAGATTCAAAATGGTGTAGATAGCACGTTTCTTTTATTTGATTTATCCAAGAATTTTCAGAAGAAATCCAACACAATTAATTGAAGAGGAAATATAATTCGATTCAACAGAATATTATAAAACGATAAATGTTATACGATGAAAGAAAATTATGTCCAAAATGACCATTCGGTAGCATATTGCTAAATTATAAGCAAAAATTGCTATCCTATATAAAGACAAAAACAATTTTCCACTTGCTTTATGTATAAACATCTTAGCTCTCGTTATCAAATTTTCAAAACTTTCGCATTTTTAATTTTCATGGTAGAGTAATCCCTGAAAAATCTCATGTCATAAAAAAACTAGCATGTCGAGAATTGTAAGTCGTATGAATAAAAAACATTTAATTCGTTATAAAAATCCGTTAATTTTTCATGCGCGATGCATAGCGCGCGCACGCGCACCAGTATTCGAACACATGATTGAACTAATTTATATATTTATCGTAGAATAAATGTCCAATGCAGTGAAATGGGACTTTTATCTTTTCTAGAAACCAATATGAAGAATGAATAATGTTCGTGAATTCAATGAGACCTAGTGAACATTTTCCATATTATTGAATCTTGGTCTTTCGATCATTGGTATTTGACGACTCTTATTCGTTCGAACACTGGACAAGTTCGCCCTTGATTAATTGTCAATGGTTCTCGAGACATTTCAAGTGAAGATTGACACATTTCTTCAATACACAACTTCTTTATTATTATTTTTTTTTTCTGTCTCGAATCAAGTTATTAATTCAATTTCTCAATTTCGATTCTACTCTATTCAATTAATTAGATTCTTCAAAAAAGCGTTCTCTCTCCTCATGATAAGTTGGAGAAATAAATAAATAAAAAAATAAAACAACCAAACAACAACAAGGAAAGTGCTAATTTTTTAATATATTGTGAAGCTTCCAATTTTTGAATTTTTGACTTGTCAAATCACCACATCTTTATTTATGATTTTTGTATCCCCTCTCCTGTCATAGGGCTGTGGGAGGGGAATACAAATGAATAAATAAAGAAATAAATAAAAATAAAAAATTCGATTTCTCAATCAGGTCATCGACTGGGCCACGGCATGGGCTACTACGACAAGTTCCTCTGGAAATGCTTCGAGACTCAGGCGAAAAAACCTCATTTAGTTGCAATTGCCTTCAACGAACAAATTAGAGAAGCAATTCCAACGAACGAAAAAGATATAATTCTCGACTTAATTATCACCGAGAAAAAATGAGTTTAAACTTGTCTGGAGAAAGGAACTCGAGGAAGAAATCTCAATTTTTGTACCTCGAGTTGAAAAACTTACACTTTTGTATCAATAAATAATGTTTTTTTTTTCGTAAATCCACTCACCACTGATCGATTTCTCCTCAATGTCAACGTAAGTCACCTCGAACTGCTGTTCAGAGGCTATTTCCTGGAGGAATTGCACCAGATTAACAACTCCATCATTCAGGCAAGTATTCTGAAACGAAAATCGCAGAATAAATTATTTTCCAATACTTCTGGAATTGATGAATGACAGAGGTGTGTCTCGAAATTTAAAAAATCACTTGAAATACTCTACAAAAATCGCATTTATCTGTGTAACGAATGATTCTACGACAAAATATCAAGAAATTTCTTTGAAAGATAACGAAATCTTCTATAAAAGTCTTGACATATTTTCCTGAAACCCCTTATTAACTAGACAATTGAACAATTACCCTAAAATTATTAATAGAATATCCGAAGACACCGTTCAGAGATCATAAAATTCTCTTCACAAGATGCGCTTCTCTAAAAATCCCTCGTTACCAAGATAATTAGACAATTTTTCATTCCCAATGAGACATGTTTCCCAATGACATGTCCAAGAGATTTAATTTGGCCCTAGGAAGCTCTGGAATACAAACCTGAAGCTCCGACAATTTAACTCCAGTGGAAGACTTGAGGTTCTTGTGAAATTGCGAAACTTTGTGACTGTGTGGTGTCGTCAGTGTGGATATTTTGCTGTCTTTGAGGTCAGCGTAACGAGCACTGACATTAGCATTCCTCTCGACAATCTATAACGGACATTCACTCATAAATAATTATATGATAAAATAAGAGTAAACAGTAGTTAATTCACCATTAAAATGAAGTGGAAATGGTCCATGTTCTATTGAAATTACTGAATTGACGAAGTCATTCTGTCCGTTATAGATTCCAAGGGTCTGGCTCATGATTGATTCGACAAAAGCGAGTAATCGGGGGGAGGGGGGGGGGGCAGACAATATCACTTCCAC